GGCATGTTTTAATTGATTATAACGTGTTCCAAAAGACACATATGAATTGTACAGTTTGATTAATTTTTACCACCACTCTGATCAAGAAATAGAGCAGAATATGGGGCGCCTGGGTGGCTTAGTCGGTTAAGCGTCCGACTTTCGCTTGGGTCATGATCTCGCGGTTCGTGGGTTCGAGCCCCGCGTCGGGCTCTGTGCTGACTGCCGGCTCAGAGCCTGGAGCCTGTTTCAGAGTCTGTCACTCCCTCTCTCTCTGACCCTCCCCTGCTCACGCTGTCTCTCTCTCTCCCTCTCCTAGAAATAAATAAAAATTAAAAAAAAAATTAAAAAAAAAAAAGAAATAGAGCAGAATACAGAAGTATAGTAATGCAGAAGTTCTCCTCAAATCCTCTGGAAGAGATTATTCACACAGGTAAATATTTCATAACTTATAATATTAAACACACTTATAAACACAATTCGTATAAATGAGCTAAACCCAAATATTTAAAAAAAAGATTTTCAGACTGCAAAAAAAACCCCAAATCACAGTTAGTTACATATATTATATATGTGTATACTGTATATATAAATGAGTTTAAATTACATATATCAAATATAATAAATTATTTGTGTGTAGGTTATTATAAAAGAAAAGAGCCAGTGTATTCTAACCAAAATGAAGCTGCTATAATAACTATAATGTGAGAAATAGGAATTAAAGGGGAGCCTGTGTTGAGTATCTGAGTTGGCTGAGTACCTGAGTCTTGATTTCAGCTCAGGTAATGATCTCACAGTTCCTGAGTTCAAGCCCGGCTGGGTTCAAACCCTGTGTAGGATTCCACACTGACAGTGCAGCACCTGTTTGGCACGCTCTGTCTCTCCTTCTCTCTCTCTGCCCTTCCCCTGCTTGTGCTCTCCCTCTCTCAAAATAAAAAAAATAAACTTTTTAAAAAAGTTTTTTTTAAAAAAAGGAAATGGAAGTTAAGGAAACAAATGAATACACCAAAATTTATTTTTCCACGTTAGTGCTGATGAACATTTGGGTTGTTTCCACTTTGGGCTAACATAAACATTGCAGCTTAGTATAGATATACAGTAAAAACCTTGGTTTATGAGCATAATTCTTTCCAGAAACATCCAAAGCAAAGTGAATTTCAAGATCCATTGGCTCCATTGTGATCATGTGACATTCAGCATCACATACTATTCATATTGCAAGATATCTCTCATTTATCAAGTTAAAATTTAGGGGCTCCAAGGTGGCTCAGTCAGTTAAATGTCCAACTTGTTTTTCGCCAAGATTAATTTTACTTCCTTGGTCCTCTTTTCTTCCATGTACATCTTAAAATCAATGTGAAATTTTTCAACAACAAAAATATTCAGCTTAGATTTTAGTTGAAGTTGTAATAAATTGATGGGCTGACTTTTAGGAAGCCCTACCAATATTTCATTGAGCCTTTAATTCCTGAACATGAAATGTCATTCCTTTTATTTAAATGTTCTGTACTTCCTCTCAGTAATATTTTATAGTTCTTGTGTCAATGCCTTCCAAATCTTTTCTAAATTTATTTCTAGAGTTGCTTTACGCTACTATAAATGATATCAATTTTTTAAATTTTATCCTTTAATTATTTGTGACAATATATCTGTGCAAAGTGTACAAATTATTGAGTGTAAGTCCAGTGATCTTACTGGATTTACTCAACTGCTAATAATTTATCTTTAGATTTTTTAAAAATTTTCCAAGTACACAATCCTATCATGAATAGGTGCTACGTTACACCAAATGTACTTTCCACAACTGTTAAAATGATCAAATGAATTTCTCATTTATTTTATTATTATGGGGAATTACACTGTTTGATTTTCAAATGTTAAGCCAACTTTGTATTCCTGGGATAAGACTCCTTTATTTATGATGTATTATCCTGTTAGTATATCTCTGGATTTAAACTGCTAATATTATGCCCGGGGTTTTTTGCATCTATGTTTATTAGAAAAATTAACTAATAATTTTCTTTTCTTGTAATGTTTTGCAAGGCTTTGCTTACAAGTTTATTCTGGCCTTTGAAAAGGATTTTCTTCCATTAATTATCAGGTAAATTTATATCATACATCTAGGACTATTCAGAGTTTCTATTTCTTCTTGAGTGTGTTTTGTTGAATTGTATTTTCCTAGGATTTCTTTTATTCCTTCTACTTTTTCAAGTTGATTTACATAGAGTTATTTATGATATCCTTGTGTTAACTTTTCATGTATGTGCTTTCTTTTCTGGGTGATTTGTGCATTAGATATTTTTTCTTGGTTAGTCTTGCTAGTAATTTGTCAAACATTAGTTTTTTCAAATGATCAACCCTTTAATTTGTTGAATTTCTCAATTGTGCATTTACTTTGTCTTTTTATAATTGTCTACCCTCTATTTTCTTTAAAATTAATCTGATGCTTTTTTTTTTTCACTAACGGATTAATATTGTTCCTCTCCCTTGCTTTATTCTAAAAGAAATAAAGTTACCATTTTTCTCTTACTTTTATAATCTTTTCTTTTTTAGCTTGATTAATGTGTGGCAAACAGAATAAAGGATCTCTCCAAAATGCCTGTGTTCTAATCCCTGAAATCTGTGAATATGTTACCATACGTGGGAAAAAAAAAAAAAAAAAGACGTTGAACATGTGATTAAATTAGAGAATTTCACATGGGGAGCTTTTCCTGGGTTATCTGTGCGGGCTCAAAGAAATCAAAACGGTCCTTAGGAGGGAAAGAGGGAGGCCAGAAAGTCAGACAAGGAAACATTACCATGGATGCAGAGGGAGAAAAAGGCAAATTAAAGATGCTACTTTCTTGGCTCTGAAGATGGAGAAAGGAGCCATGAGCCAAAAAATGCATGTAGCCTTTTGGAAGCTGGAGCTGGAAAAGGCAAAGAAGTGTCCTCTCCCCAAGGTATCTGAATTGCATCAAACCTGCTAACCCTTTGATTTTAGCCTAGTGAGAAGAATTTTAGACCTCCTGACTTCCAGATTTTACAGCAGTAAATTTGTGGTTTTGGAGCACTAAGTTTGTGGGCATTTTATACAGCAGCGATGGGAAACTAATATCCCATATTTGAATTTTGGTTACAGTTTCACTTACACCTCACTTTTTCCAGCTAGATACAATGTCTTCATTCTCAGCTACACCCTCTGTGGTTTTTTCCAGGTGGGTTGATTTATAATAAGCTCTTATATCCTTTGTATTTCTTAAATGCTTTGACTTTACTCTGACACCTGCCAGGCAGTATAATGGTATATCTAGTGTAAGCGCTCTCAAGTTGGATACTTTAAAGATAATAATTTATTGACCTTCTTTTTTTTTTAATGATAAAAAGCATGTCAATCTAATTACTATTACTTTGGGTAAAATCTGCCTTCTTCCCCTTCTTATAGACATTTAAAGTTATTTTCTATTTTTCCTAGGTATCAGTGGAGATTTTCTCTTCCTTTTTTTTTTTTTATGGCAAGTCTATGTATTTCATTTAACATAAAAATACATTTTTATCTACCCTTCCTTCTTGTGTGGCAGAGATAAGGAACATTTTCCTTATTCTCTCTCATTCATCTGGACCTAGAAGAGCTTTAGAGATATTTTAAATGAGAAATGGAACACCTGTATTAAGACTTCTTGAAATACAACACTTCTAATTAAATCACATCCCCTATTGATTTTAACACATTTGTGCATTCTTTGTACTGTTTCAATGTGTCTGTTTAGCCATACTAATACATTTCTATAAATTATGTCAACAGAGGCAGGGTTCTTATTTTATGCAGCACTTGATTATTAAGGAAGAACATAGCAAAGATGGAAGAAAGCAAACAAAATGCTGGTTACATAGGTTAATTAAATTTTCTGAAGTTTTTTTGTAAAAGGTAGATAGTGCCTGTATCTTTGCAAGATCATTTTTTATAATTAAGTAAATGAAGTAAAGATAATTTTCCATAATTAGCAGAATAATCGTGTATATGTGTACGTACACACATGCACATGCACACACACACACATATTTCTCCCTTTCCTGTGAAATGCAAACTACTTGTTAAAAATAAAATGAAAGCTTCCTACCTTCCATAATACTAAAGGAATAATTTTGCTATAAAGTTACAAGTTTTGGGGGGCCTGATGGCTCAGTCAATTAAGTGTCTGACTTCAGCTCAGACACTTAATAATTAACACTCATAATCTTGGGTTTCACGAGTTTGAGGCCCACGTCGGGCTCTGTGCTGACAGCTCAGAGCCTGGAGCCTGCTTCAGATTCTGTGTCTCCCTCTCTCTCTGTTCCCACTCTCATTCTGTCTCTCTCTCTAGAAAATAAACATTCAATTTTTAAGTATAAGTTTTGTATTTTTCTTTTTTGAAGGGTGACAAGTTGTATGGCATCAATATGTGTAAATGGCTTATGAGATTAATTCAAAGATATCTTAGGTGAAAATAACAGAAACTGTTCACTGTGGCAAATGCCAACCACAATGGGAAGGCAGAAGGTGTTGATCATGAGAACCTCCTCAATGCGAGGCTGCTTCCTCAGGCCCCCGGGCCCTTGTTCAGCTATGAACTGAACTCTGAAATGCTCCCCCTTCTCTTTGCCAGCCCCAGCACCAAAGCCTTCATTTGTATGGTTGTCAGTAGTTGCCGCAGAGGAAGAAATCTGTACTGATCCAGACAAGCAACAATACAAAGCTCTTGGCCTAAGAAACTATTTAACTAAGTTATACTTAAATCTCAGTGTCACCAGTACATTCACCACCTAGCTTGTCACAGTTTCCCCTTCACAAGAATGGAGATAGTAAATATAACCACCTCTTGCAATAATTATAAGGAATATATGAGACAGCATGTGTGCAAATGGGCCAGATGTGAGATGTGGCCTGCAGATACAGTGGTAGAAAACTAAGCGTTAAATTTAAAGCATAGTCCAAATCCAAGACATGCACAGAATCTTATTATTTATAATCTGTAGAACAGTAGATAATTGTTCACTGTTACAACAATATTCTCACGAATCTGTGTGCCATCCCTGTGCAGGGGCCACACCAGTCTTCTCTGTATCATTCCAATTTTAGTGTATGTGTGCTATTGAAGCAAGCACACGACAGTACTCCCGATAAGCATACACCTTACATGTTTTCCAAGAATTCTTTCCATTTTATAAGATTCTCTTTTGAGAGAAGGTTTGGGGATACATACTGCATTGGGCAGGGGAGGCGACCTGCAGAACCACGGATGCCAGCCAGAGACTGCAGACAGCAGAGAGGGTGGGGATGAGGCCTTAGAGTGTCTCCCAGGTCAGGTGGAAGGGAAATCATGGGCTTTTGCTTCCGTTAGACTAACTCTTGTCCCAGCACCAATGTACAAGCCACTTAGCAAATTTATTTTAATTCAAAGCTTAATGACTTTCAGTGGAACATTCTACAGAAGTTAACGGTTCTCCTGACAAGCAGCAGGCAGCAGGTCGTGTGGCCCTCATATGCAGCTAAGTATTTTTAGCTACTCAGACATCTGGCCCAAGTGAAACAGCTGGAAAAGCGTAACTATTAACCTTTTTGTTTGCAGTGAGAGCTTTCCCTATAGATGTCAAATCAATGGAGTAGACTCTGAACTACCTCATAGTGGTTCAGACAGCTTTTCTAATGGCAGGTGTTGGTGTCATGCCTTCTTTTCCTCATTGTTGGGAAAGAGGATCCTGTCTGGTTTTTCTCCTATTTGATCTGTGTTATTTTGCATACACCTGTTACATTGAAGCTCATCACATGCAGCACAGAAAGGCTTCATAGACAAAAACAGTATATACCATGTCTAAAATCAAAGAAGAAGTTGGGGTGCTTGGGTGGCTCAATCGGTTAAGTGTCCAACTTTTGATTTCAGTTCAGGTCATGATCTCACAGTTCATGGGTTGGAGCCCCTCCTCAGGCTCTATGCTGACTTCACAGAGCCTGCTTGGGATTCTCTCTCTCCCTCTACCTCTGACCCTCCTCTGAATATAATCTCTCTCTCTCTCTTTCTGTCTCTCTGTCTCTCTCTCTCTTTCAAAATAAATAATCATTTAAGAAGTTAAAGTAAATAAATAAAATCAAAGAAATGTCTTTAACCGTGAGGACATTCGATGAAAGGGAAATTAAATCAGCATGTCATCAAAGGGCAGGGTCACAAAACTAATATCTGATGAGAGTTCATCAGAGATATGTGAGTTCTTTATTATTTATTTATTCTGATTTTGTAATATTCACTGAAGCTTTGTTTATAGAACAAAGTGGAATATGGAGAGCTCATGTACTTTGTCCAGAAAAAAACACTTAGAACAAGGCCGTTGTGAGGTTAGAACCCAAGCGCCCCCATTGACCTTCCATACAACTTGATACATATAACAGATTATAATTTTTGCCCAGAGTTTTTTCAATCCCAATTACATTTTAAAGTGTTCCACATAAACTCCATAGTGGCAGTTTTTCCAAAAATGCTACGTTCCAGATCTTTCTGGATACTTTGTGTGTCTTGGCGATTATTTGCTTCAGAAAAAGATATAGATAAATAAATGACAGCATCTACCTTAGCCTCTTAGGTGGAAAGTCCCTTGTGTGTAACCGTGCTACTCACATATATTTTAAATGGCCAGTAGCAATAGGACTACAAAAATGATAAAGGAAAGCATCAGGGAAAAATCATTTGTAGAGGTAGAAAATGACAACATTATAACATATGGAGATTTAAAGTTAATGATAATTTTTTTTGAGTAAAAAAAGGGGGGAATCCATCACAATATTTTGAAAGGTGGGTGTTGATAATCAGAGTTTTGAAAACTATCTATGGCTTTGGGTCTGAGAAAGGATTTCTGGAAGAAGAGAGGGCAGGAGATGAAAGTATCTTGCATTAGGACAGTGGCTTGAGGAAATAAATCAGTAGACTGGATAATGGATTTGGATTTGGAAGCTACAGAAGTTGACATATCAGTGGGGACTCAGATTCTAGCTTGCCTTAGAGCAGGGTGACTGGTAGTGTTATCCATTTATCAGGGAACATGGGAAGAAGACCCTGTATGAAGGGAAGTCCTTGAGTTCACCTGGGGACATAAAAATCTTGAAGTACATTTGAGATACCCAACTGGGGATGTTAAGTAATCAGCTACATATAAGTGTGTTACACAGCAAAGTATCCTGGGATGGAGACAGGTACTGAACTTATTTGAAGCCTCTTGCACAATTTTTAAAAAAATTTTTAGTGTTTTATTTATTTCTGACAGAGAGAGAGACAGTGTGAGCAGAGGAGGGTCAGAGAAAGAGGGAGACACAGAATCTGAAACAGGCTCCAGGCTCTGAGCTAGCAGTCAGCATAGAGCCCGACACGGGGCTCGAACCCATGAACCGTGAGATCATGACCTGAACCAAAGTTGGCTGCCCAACTGACTCAGCCACCCAGGTGCCCTGCCTCTTGCACAACTAAGATTGCTTAAAGAAAGAAAACCAAAACAAGTAAAAGACCCAGATAGAGATACTTTATTTCATGCTATGCCAAGTAGCATTACTCAGCTCTAAAAAGTACCAGTCCCTCAGAATATGTCATAATGGGCCTCTTAGAGTTTTTCAATGTGACAGCCCTGGATAGAGGTTTGAGGGCCCAACGATGAAGGGAGATAAGGATAAGCTTTTCAAGTGAATGCATGTAAAGACAAATAAGAGGAAAACATGGGCCATATATAACAATGGTACAGAAGAGAATATTTCAACAAGGGCAACATTAGAAATTACAACTGTGGCTGAGACATCAGGGCTGCTGATGATATAAAAGGAAGAACAATGAACTTGGCAACACAAAAGTAATGAGAATTCTTGGCAAGAATCATCTCAGCAGAATTACAGAGATGGAAGTCAATTGGTGAGAAGAGTATGACTCTCAAACCTCATCACACTCCGAATTCTATAGTGACATTTATCTCACTGAAGTGAACCTGTATCTGGCTCAGCCTTTCAAATGAAAGGAGAGTTCATTGATACGAGGACTCTTTCTGACCCATCTTTGCACAACAGGCTCGTGACAAAGAGACTGGTTCCCAGTCTACGCAGACAAAAGGACAGAATCATTTGCATGACCCTCAAGACCCTCTATCAGCCATTCCCTTGATCTCTCTGGCTCTGTCTTCTACTACTCTCTCCTCAGCCATTCACTACATGACCGTGACCTCCTCACTCTTCCACCAAATGCTAGGCGCCTTGTTCCCTTCTCATTTATCATTCCTTCTACTTCGTGTGCTCTTCTCCTAGACATGCTTGTGGTCAATTTCCTAGTTTCTTCTTGGTCTTTATTCAAACATCATCTTTTCTGAGAATCATTCTCGGACAACTCATCTGAAATGTGGCTTCCTCACCATCCTATAACAGTAGTCTCTATCCTCTTTCCCTTTATATATATATTTTTTTTCTTTAGTACTTAACACTTTCAAGTGTTAAATTAAATACTCTACATTTAATTTCTTCATCTTATTGTGCCTCTTCTCCACTGGAATATGAGCTCAACGAGCGTAGGAATGTCACATGAGTTTTACTGCTGTTTCCTCAAATCCAAAAGAGTATTCTACACAGGAAACCACTCAATAATTATTTGTTGAATGAATGCAAGTGTCTAGTAGCTAACACCATGCTCCCTATATAATTGGCAGATGATAAATTAATGAGTAGACTTTTGTATTATGACCAAATTACACTGTTAATTACCAAAATTGTATTGAATGAAAGAATACAATTTATTCTTTTTTCACATCTTCTGCTCACCAGTAGTTTTTGATATTTATCTGTAACTCATCCAAATTACAGTATAGTCATGATGGTAAAATTATTCAAAGCAATTTGAAACTGCAGGGTTTCATTGGCCATCCGTACCAATCTTGAAATCAGATTGATGTTGCTATCCTCTCATTTGAGGCTAATGCCTTTCCTGGAGCCTCAGGGTAAAGAATATGTTTTGGGTTTTTTTTTTTTTAATATATATTAATTTCTCTAGTAACAGCACTAAAAATATGGATTGTATGAGTCTAAAAACCTTTTGTTTGTAATCCCATTCTAAGCACGAGCCTGGCTTCACTGAGCAGAAAGCATAGATAATGCCATAGTTCAGATGTGACTAAGAGTGGATTAAACAATTCAGTGGAAATGTTTCATGGCATCTTTATGTCTTCTACTGATGTTTATTTCAAATTGAGTCACTTATTGCTCCCAAAATTTCAACTTAACATAGTTTCATATCATCTTTCTCCCCAAAGAAGATAAAGACCAGGTTGTTGAGCTATATCTCAGCTGGCTTCATAAGTTTATGACCTGTCACCAAGTATAAGCATGTGAAAATTGTCATAATGACAGAGATTAGTCTGTCCAGGGCAGAGGCAAGATCTTGATGCATAACTTCTAAGCAGAATAAACAATTTTCTCTGAGGAGTTCAGTGAATGTTTTTAAGAAATATGGTTCACTGGCAATACTGTCAGAACAGCTAGCTGTGCTTTTTTGGGGAAAAAAACGTTTAATGATGACAGGTATGAGACACAGCAGCCAGTGTTCCCCTGAGGGCCAAACACTACAGAAAATGTGCAAGGAGACTATCAGGCATGGCCAAAGACCATGTTGTAGGTTTCATGTTTAAAGCAAAAAATAGCAAATTCATTACTCTTGGACATATTTCTACTTCTTTGTCTTTTCTCTTATCCAAACTAAGATAACGTCACTTTTTAAATTCATTAGCATTCATGCTAAACCCCTTTCAGACCCTTAAGTTAATTGCATCCCCAAGGGAAGGGGAGACTACTCAGCCTTCACCAGGAAACTGCTGTCCTGCTATAAACTGGACCAATTAAAATGCACAGTCGAAAGAACATGCCCCATTGAGAGAGGGGAGGTGGTGGAAGTCCTGGTCGGGCATGTCCTGTCCCCAGTCCATCACCTCATGCCTGACAGTGCTGCCTCTCTGGGCCTACATGTAGGGTATGCACAACCAGGTCAAGTTCCAAAAACTGCCAACCTCCCTCTTCTCCAGGCCAGGTGGACACTGGTTTCCACAAATACAATAATTTGGCTGCTGTCTCATTCCCTCCATCATCCTAAAAAGCATC